AGAACAAGTCAGCAAACGGCTCCTGCTGCAGGGCTGGGGCTTTATGGGACTTTAACGGGAGTGGAGAGCGCACAGTTCATCACACAGAGCTTGGTTGTTAACGGGGTAGGAGCTTCCCCTCAGGAAAAGCCACACATTAGAACATTTAATGCATCTACAAGGTAGAACAAGGATGAATGCAGGGGAGTCCCAAGGGGTTTGTTTCTCCCAGGCAGCCTTAAAATGGTTCAAAATTCGCTCTAGAGCCTTGCAGCGAGACAACAGCTAAAGGTGCTAAGGGCAGCGTTAGCCAAAGCAGGGACTTAGCTCTGCTCTCTCCATGTGGGCATTCCCAAAATCGACGGAGATCGCATCGCGCCAAGGCTGTTTTCTCACTGATGCTCCCAGCTCTCCTCAGAGGGGATTTTGTTGCCACCCCAACCTCCCCAACACCCCAGGCTGCACTCACTGAAGCCCGTGCCGCGGCTGGCAAGGTTCGGGTAAGCAGCCCCCGTAGGGGAAGCCGTGGAGCCCGGCGCTGTCATGGGGCTGAAGGAGGACGGGGTCCCTTGGAAAGTCCCCATGCTGAAGGAAGGAGGCCGAGTCTTCACCGTCTGCGACGCCACTTGCTGGAGGAGAGCAAGAACAGGAGAGGAAGAGGAGAGATGCATTTATTCTGAACCTCAGCTTAGTGAGAACTTGCAGGATTGGCCCCAAAGCAAGCACGCAGCATCGCTCCCTCCCTCAGCTGAAGAGCGAAAGCGGGGAGGGTCTGTAACGCAGCGGGGACCCGGGGCCTGCACCCAGGGTTCAGGCTTTGCTACCTGGGCCGTGAACGCTGGCCGTGTCCCTGGAGCCCAGTTGGTTCCGCTGACCTGAGCTGGGTTGGAGTGGCGTGAGATCTGCGCCAAGATCCGGCCCGCGGAGGAGGGCTGCTGCTGAATGATGTTGACGGGAGGGACCATGCTGCTGCTCCTGCAAGACACGAGAGGCACCCATAGGACCCTGGGTACAGCACAGAGCACCACAGACACCACCTGTGCAAGTTATTGCTGGGGAGAAACGAGCCCAGAAGTGGGGGGTAACTTTGCTCCTGTGCCGGTGCCCATCCTGGTGCTGGGTCTGCGGGCAGGGCCACTCTCACCCAGCTCAGGTCTTGGCATAAGCACATCCTGGAGGCACAGCCATCCCACGGAGGAGCTTTGGCACTCAATGGAGCAGAGGGATATCAGGGAATGAAGGCAGTGGCTGGGGAGGTGAAGATGAGGGCGAGGACTGGCACAGCAGAGGAAGGGCTGTGCTGACCCTGTGCACGGCCTTGGAGCTCCTGCACCTCTGACCAGGAGCAAAGCAGCACCAGGAGGGAGAGCAGGGGTGCAGGAGCCCTCCTCTCCCCCACTCCTCAAGGAAATCAAAGCCTGAATGGGCTCCCTCCGTATTTATTGCGCATACCACACAGGAACAGATTTATGGACAATCACTGCCATGCAGGGAGGGGCTGGGAACACTCAGCTGTTGCAGGAGGACAGACAAACAGAACAGAAATAACTGCAGGATGGGATAGAATTAACAGGGGCTGCTCGAAGCACAGCACGGGAAGCCTCACCTGAAGCTCTCGGCAGGTCGTGATGGGGTGAAGGTGTTTCCCTGCGTAAAGAGGGGCTGGTTGGCAGGCACTGTGCTGGCAGGAATGGCTTTGCTCTGGTCTGTGGAGAGAGGCCGAGTCACTTTTGGGCTGAGAAGGTCTCAGCAGCAGGAACGGGGACAGAAAACCAGTTGCAAGAGAGATGCCCGTGTGAAGGCCGACTGTTTGGAGCCAATGCAATGCTCCTTAGGCAGACACGGACTTCAGATGGTTTTGTAAAAGCCTGTTTAATTGGATTTCCTCTCCATTTTCTAATAAACTCGCATTAAGGTCCTCTGGGGTTACAGCATCCACTGCACTCAGTGCTCGGACTAGGAACACACAGAACTGCTCTCCAGGGACAGGCAGGACGGATCAGACCATGGCAGGCAGCAAGACCAGAGCAAGAAACACCTCATCGCTCCCTCCCCAGCAAAACGCTGGCTGCAGGACAATTCACTGCCATGACAGCACAGCAGCATGGACAGCAATTACCCACCCAGCACGAAAATCAGCTCTATTCTGCAAGACTTGGGCTGCCACAATACAGCTACACCGAGTCTCTGCACCCAGAGCTGCTCTGAGTGCCTCAGGAAAGAGCACAGAGCGCTCAGAGGGAAGCTGAAACTAGGGAAATTTAGGCAAATATGCAACATGCCCCTGGCCGTGCCTCCCAGCCCAGCACTCCCTACCTGTACTGATGCTGCTGTAGATTTCACTGAACCTGGGGTCCCGCTCCTGATTAAAAAGGGTCTCTGGCTTCTCCAGGGTCTTGCTGTGCTCCGGGCCGGCAGCAGTCACGGGCTGAACGGGAACCTGGGAGCAGGTACAAACACGAGCTGTCAACACCTCAAGCACAGAGGAAGTTGGGGGTCTCACAGCCAGCACAGAGAACACCCAGGGCTGTGCAGGAAAGACCTCGCACACCAGAGGCTGGGGTGCTCCCTAGGGTTTCTCAGGGACGCGTGGCCTGTGGGTTTTATCGGGACAGTGTGGCCAGAGAAGGGCAACGGAGCTGGGGAGGGGTTTGGAGCACAAGAATTATGAGGAGCAGCTGAGGGAGCTGGGGGGTTCAACTGGAGAAGAGGAGCTGAGGGGAGACCTTATCCCCTGTGCAGCTCCTCAAAGGGGGTAGCGAGGGAGGGTCAGCCTCTGCTCACTCATAGCTGTGATAGGACAGGGGGAAATAGCCTCAAGTTGCACCAGGGCAGGTTTAGGTGGGATATGAAGGGAAATTTCTTTCCTGAAAGGGTTGTCAAGCACTGGAAGGGGCTGCCCGGGGCGGTGCTGGAGGCCCCATCCCTGAAGAGGTTCAGAAAACAAGGAGATGTCGTGCTTAGGGACATGGTCCAGTGGTGGACTTAGGGCTGCTTCAGTGGTTGGACTCAATGCCCTTAAAGGTCTTTTCCAACCCAAACCACTCTGTGATTCTGGGCAGGGCTGGCAGCATCAACACGGGTTTTGCTGGACTGGCTCGCTCAATTCTGATCTGCACCCTCTGTGTCCTCCCCACCATACCCAAGGCAGAATACACCTTCCTCTCCTAACTCTCAGCAGCCTCAAGTCAACCTTGCATGGCCACCTTTAATGCCCCAGCAAAAGGTCATTTCAATAATGCAGGATGACAAACACAAGGAGTAACCCAAACCCCTGTGGATTTACCTGTGAGTGGTCGTACCCAGCCAGGCTCTCTCTTCCTGGGACCACTTCCAGCTCTGTCTGTTGTGGCGGCTGCTGCTGCCTAAAATAGAAAGGGTCTGTAACAGGAGATCACCGGCTGCTAAAAACAATTGCCAAGGGAACAGAAACTCTGTGGTTACACCAGTGATTCATTAGCCCAGAGGAGCTCATTGCTGCAGAGAGGAAAGTGCGGGTAGGAAAGCTACGACAGGAGGGCAGAACCAGCGAGAGAGGCACGGTAAAAGGAGCTGAGCACCTCCTGACCTTGAGGGCAGCTGTGCCGTGCCCATCTCCAGGGGAAGGCTGACACTCTGCCCCAGCTGGGGCCTCTGCATTGAGTTTGACAGGGCAGGCCGAGACTCCTGGCTCGAGTTCCTTTAAAGCAAAGAAAAAACAAAAAAGAAAAAAGAAAAAAATATGTCTTTTAAAAATAGCAAATGAAAGCAAACGGTTGGCTACTGTGTGCAGGAGAGCGTGCCTGTCTCGGACAGGAGTGGAAGCTTTGCTTTTGCTAAAGCTGCTCGAGTGAAGGATCCTTGCACTCAGTTTCCATGGTCTCTGAAAGGGTCTCATGTAATTTAATATAAAATAATGCTGACAGCTGCGAGCCAAAGGGCTCTGCCCCCTCCCACTCAGCCCCTGAGCAGGGGAGCGATTAATAACCCACACCAGGAGCACGGCCAGATCTGCAGCATCCTCAAAGCACAAGCAAAGGCTGTAGGAGCCTAAAACCCCCCAAGGTTTTCCATTCAGCTCTGTGTCAGCCACTCCAGAGCTGGAGCCTGCAGAGATCACCAGCACTTGTAGGTTTTAAGGCCAAGATGTTGGTGGAGATCGTTAAGCTCTTCTGTTAATTGTCAGAAGTCAGTTTATGTTTAACTCCCACAAGAAAGGAATTAAAAATCCAGTGTTTCCAGTTCATTTGCAAGCTGCTGCTTTGGTAGTACCCGATCTCGAAGATGAAACGACACGGAAAACCTAGCAAGGATGCACACAGCTAAAACACACCTCAAACACAATCAGACACAGGTCTCTGCTGCTCCGGTCTGAATTTATACAGCGCTTTTAGAAGGCGTAGCATGGATGTGAGAATGGATGCGTGTGGGATGAATGAGCTCAAAGAGATCTCTCTAACACTAGGACAGGAATGAAGCCTGCATCAGATCTGATTTCAGCCCTGCACTCAGAGCACAGCTCTTTAAAAGCCAGAGGGATTTGTTACTGCTCAACTCTCAGTATTTTCCTTGCCAGGCTGCAGGAAGGGAAGAAGCGCTACCTGCACTCTGGGACCTTGGCTGGTTGCAAGAAATAAAAGAAAATAAAAAA